CCCCCCCCCCCCCCCCCCCTCCGCCGCCGCCAGCTGCTCCGCTAACCGCTGCACCTCCCGCTCGAGCTGCTGCCTCGCTCCGATACTCCAGGGTCGCGCGTCAGGATCACCCACGGTGACGAAGCGGGCCCCTCCCCCATGGCGGTGACGAATGCTGAGGACGGCCCCGGTGCCGGCCCCCGTGACGGAGCGGCGACCGCCACCGGCGCTGACGCGGGCGCGGCGATGGTGGGTGAGGAAGAGAAATGCCTCCGAGATCTTGTGGCGTCGATCTCGGCGGCGGCGGCCCATAGTGCGATGAGTCGTGCACCAGCGATGGGTCGGCCTCCAGCGCTGCGGAGGTGGCCGGCCAGGACGGGATGTTGGTGTGGCGGACGTGGTTCCTTGGTTGTGCTGCTGGCGGCGTCGCGGTGCGGGCGCGCGGCGCGGCCGCCGGCGCCGGCGTCGGCCGTGACTGTTGGTAGATGGGGGCGGGGGCTCGATCAGAACAGGGGGGCAGGTTGTGGTGGCGGATGATGTGGCCGCGTTGTGTGTTATCGGGGGCGGCGGTGGGGAGGTGACCGTGATGGGTGGAGGCAGGGTTGGGGCGGTGGCCGTTGTTGACGGGAGCGGCGGTTGTGGATCGGTGGCTGCTGTTGGTGGGTGCAGCGGCGGTAGCGCGGTGGCCGTGGTTGGGGGTGGTGCTGACGGTGGGGCGACGGGCGTCGAGGGCGACGGTGGTGGTCGCGAGCAGGGGCAACGGTGGGGAGGGCGGTGGACCGTGGCGTGTGTGCTGATATCGCCGGTGTAATGTGGCGGCGGCGACGGCGGTGCTGTGGCCGGGTGTAGCAGCGGCGACGGTCCTGGCGACCGGGGGGGACCCCTGCAGCGAGGATGATGACGAGGCTCGGTGGCGTAAGTGCTGATAGCGCCGTGGTCCGGGGCTGGCGACTACGGGGACCGGTGCAGGGGGCTGCGGCGCCGCTGTCCTCTCCGGCGGCGGCGGTCCCGGCGACGCCGCCTCGAGCTGAGCCCACGGGTGCCGTGGGGACGTTGCCGACGCCGCTACCGCCCCGAGGTACCACGCAGGTGGGTCGCTGGGCGGGGCGGGGGCCGTATCGGGGTGGTACAGGTAGAAGCTGGTGACATACGACTCCCACACCCGGTGGACCGCTTCTTCCAGCGTGACCCCCGCGTTGTGCTTCTTGTACTGTTGCACACGGACGACCCACTTCGCACCGCGTGCCTCTACCTCCACTGCTTGGGCACGTTGGACGGCCCTCTCAGCAGCTTCATGCACCTCCCTGGCAGTGGGCGGCGCCGTTACCCCCCCCGCGCCGTCTCCTTCAGCCGCTGCCGCCGCCGCTCTGTCCTCAAAGTCGCGCTCGTGCCACCCCCGCAGCTCCTCCTGCTGCTGTGCGATCAGTTGCGCCTTCTCTGAGTCGGTCATTCGGAATGCGCGTAGCGGCGGTGGCACCACCCCGGCCGTGGCGGCTGCGGCGGTGTCGGCGGCGGTGTCGGCGGTAGCCGCCGCCGCGGTGTCCAAAGCGGGTGCGCCGCCGGCCCTCTCCCTCGCCTCCGCCGAAGTCACGTACCCCACGGTGACGAGCTCCAGCGGCGTGCGCGAACGGCGCCCCGGCGAGGCGGTCTTCCCTTTCACCTGTGGCAGCTGCGGGAAATCGCCCTCCTGAAGCTGGAAACCGGCGGTGGCGGCAGCGGGCACGCAGGGGGAGTTTGCCCCCGATGCAGTAGCAGGGGCGGCCGGCACTGTGTTCCCCTCGGCCACCGGCAGGGTGTTGGCAGGAGCGGGCGCGATGGGGAGCGCCTGCGTGTATTTGACTTGTTTGCGTTGCACCGCCAGCGCTGTGCTCGCCTCAGCCCTCAGGAGCGCCCCATCTTGCTTCGCCTCCTTCGCTGAAGCCGTGGACGCCTCACAGGCCGCGGCCGCCGCGGCAAGCTCCCGTTCCATGGCTGCCACCGCAGCCGCCATCTGCCGCCGCTGTTGTTGGAGGGCCGTCAGCTTGTCGGCGTCGGCGGTTACTCGTTTCTGAAGGTTGTAGTCCGTCGCGCGTGCCGCCCGGTCCAACGCCGCGTAGGCCTCCTCCGCACAGAGAAGTTCGGCGTAAGCTTCGGCGACCGATGACGGGCATTGTGCTCGCACGTGGGCCTCGAGGTGGCGATTCTCAGCGTCGGCGGACGCCAGGTCGTTGGCGACGGAGACGTCATTGATCACCGTTGAAGGCCCAGAGAAGAGTGCCCCCACGGTGGGTGGGAAGGCCGTGGCGTCAGCAGCAGCCGCCGCGGCGTGGATAAACACGGCCCCGTCTGCGCCAGACTGGTCCGACTGTCCAGGCGCGGGAGGGGCGGCGGCGATGGCGCCCAGCAGGTTGCCGAAGCCTCGTTCGCGGATGGCCTCGGTGATGCGGTACACCTGTTCAGCCTCTGTGAGAACAGGCGCAGTAGCAGCATTCGATGAAGCTGCAAGGAGGTCCGGCGCGTAGGTGACGGCGCCGGGAGAAGCCGACGAGCGAGGCATTGCCCCAGCAGAGGCAGAGGGAGGAGCGAGAGAGAGGGGGGCGGGAGGAGGAACTACAAGAGCAGGCTGCACGCTACCAGCTATGCGCGGGCTACGGCGTACAGAAATACCCTTAGACGCATCTTCCTCTTCAGGGACCCCGGTATCACGCTTACGGTCCGACATGATCAACTCAAACAAACTCGGCAGCTTCGCCAACTGTGATATAAGCTTTTAGCTGGGTTTGTGTTCTGATGTGGAGCACTGCGAACCAATCACAAGTGAGGTGTGGTTCTACTAGCAAGGGTGGTTCTGCTAGTACTTCGTGTCCAAGGGGTGTTTGGTCAATACTGTCAATGCTCGTGGTGTGGTCACGGGTCTCTGATGNTACCCTTAGACGCATCTTCCTCTTCAGGGACCCCGGTATCACGCTTACGGTCCGACATGATCAACTCAAACAAACTCGGCAGCTTCGCCAACTGTGATATAAGCTTTTAGCTGGGTTTGTGTTCTGATGTGGAGCACTGCGAACCAATCACAAGTGAGGTGTGGTTCTACTAGCAAGGGTGGTTCTGCTAGTACTTCGTGTCCAAGGGGTGTTTGGTCAATACTGTCAATGCTCGTGGTGTGGTCACGGGTCTCTGATGTGCACAAGAGGTAGAGTCGAATGTGGCCTCGTTTATTAGTCAGCCTGGAGGTGAACTCCTGATCAGCAAGAACACCTGCTGTAACTCAACCGCTAGTCAATCCGATCTCACGAGGCTGTCCAATGCTATGCTAAGGCGTCACGCTCAACACAACGCTATGGGGACGGCACTCACGCTCACCGAACCCCTAGTCGAAGCTATGCCAAGCGGCTTCTGATCAAAGGGGGTGGCTGTAGGAGAAATGAAAGCCAGAATAATCCAAATACATTGGGAACTCCGGGGAAACGAGGATGACTTCAACCAAACGGTTACAATCTGCGGAGCTTCCTACAACATTGGCCCCGATCCACAGATCGGAACGGTTTTTAATGTGAAGACAACAACAACAACAGTTTCACAATCACGTATTCTTCCCAGAAGGCAGTTTCAATCAGAACCGAACCTTGGCGAGGAAACAGTCTAGGTTGACAGCTATGTGGTTTATGTCGAACACCCAAAGACACTCCAATAATGGGTCGCTGCATACGAGGTAGACCGCTTCAAGAAGAAACACGTTCGACGGCGGGAGGACGTGTTCGTCGAATGCTAGCCCATTACGCAGAAAATATATATATATAAAGTATACATATATCTATGAAAAAAAAACGGAAGACGAAGAAACGCCCACCAAACAATTCCGCCTTAAAACCAAAGGGAAAAACACACCTACACAACACAATCACCAAAGCTGCCAGTGCCTTAATCTCCCCAGCACCCTCATCGCGCAACAACGACACGCTGGATCATCTTCGCAACCTACACCCTAACGAAGATCCTGACGATATTGCTACTACGTGGGATTCCAGCATCAAAGCTGCGGGAGATCGTATAAAAACGCACAAGATAGACTCCGTCGCCGAAGCTGATGAACCATTCGAAATCAAGTTCATCAAGCAGACGGTGAAGAAAGCCAACCCTCAGAGTGCTCCGGGGCCTGGTGGTCTTCGTTTTTCCTATCTCCAAGCTGGTGGAATGAGTGATTTTTTTACTGAAACCTTGGCGGACTTCAGCTTGAAAGTCTTCTACTACGGAGACGAGCTTCCGAATTCTTTTGGAACCTCCACACCAGTGC